CACAAAAAAGTTGGGCCTGGGAAAGTTGCCTAGTTTAAAAACCCATGCTAACATACCTGGCTAAACATTTCCCAGCTCATTAGATTCAGTGGGGATAAAAACATCCTACAGAAACGCAGCTTTTCAAAAGCAGGGATGGGCAAGAGTTCAACACTCAGTGAAAGACTGTGCGGGCAGCTAGTTAAACAACAGAACAGTACTTCTCAAACTATCAATTGAAAGACATTGGGGGCCTCATTCTCTCAGTTTCAGTTCATGATGCACTGTCTATGTACAACTCTAAATGTTATATATAGTGATTTACAAATCATTGTAAATCACTAGGTTTTCTCCTCTCTTCTTACCATTTTTTTAAGATGGCTTCAAAAATTGTGTACTCTAGACAGTTACATCCCTGCAACAGGGAGCAACAGTGTATGTTTTTAAATGTATGAAATATTTGTGAATGGTTAATGATGTTTAGCAAAGTGAGGGCAGTCACAGAAGCACCAGTGCTTAAATAAAAAAAATGTATATATTAAAAATAATAATAATCAGACAGAGCTAGAGAAGAGCACCAAAAAGGTGTTGTTTTTTGGCAGGTGATGCATTTTGTATTCTTCAGACTAAAGCTCCATCTTTTGATCAAGCCAAGTCACACCCAACAGCAAGAGAACCAACATAAAATAAGCCTTTGAAAAGCACCATTAATAGGAGATGAGAAATGCTCTGTAGCAATGGCTTCTGTAGATGGCTTAGAGATGAAAGAGAAAGCATTCTCTTTGTTAACCAATGTCATTGAGAGGGTTTAAGGCGGCAAGAGCTAGACCTCCACAAAGCATAAGCTCTTCAACAGTGTACATCATTAACAATGTTCAAAACTGCTTAGACCCTGAGATGTGTGTGCATTTAGGTAAAATGTGACATGAAAATGCAGTCAGAATACAGTCTAGAGACTGTAAATTACATTACTATACTCTGCTATTTTTAAGAAACCTAATAAGGCAAACCAATAAACCTGATTAGTGAACAAATACATATGAATAAAAACTACTAAAGGACAATTATAAGTATACAAGTAAACATGTAGTCTAAATAAGGAAACATTTAGCTGATTCATTTAACTGACAAGTAAAGCATTACTCGATTCATAAAACTGTGTGTGTGTGTGTGCGTGTGCTTGTGTTGATTTTTACCTGATCAAGTGGTCATTTCGTATAAGCACGAGGTGCTGCAGTATAGAGAGGAAATATGGCTCTGCACTGCTGTCCTTTACCATGCTCTGCACAATACTGAATATATCACCTGCATCAGTGCAGCGAGTCAAGGATTTGTATTTCAATGTCAACAGTGCAATTTCACGTAAAAAAACAAGGTAATGACACAAAAGTAAATGTAAGAAAAATGTGTTTTGACTCTAATTTACACTTTTGTTTGCATAATGTCAGAAATAATTTACCTTAACTGGATCCCATGAATGTCTCATAAGAAAATTAGGCACAATTACAAGACACAAACACTGAATCATAAATCCAAATTGCATGTACCTTTTTATAATAAAGACAAGGATATTCAAGCTCACTCTTAATGTCTTCCAGTCTGTGAGAGAACTCCATCATGTCCTCTTCTTTGTGTTCCTCAAATACCTTGAGCTGAATGTCAAGGGCCTCATTCCTGATGACTAGCAGTTGCTACATAAGGATCAAGGTGCAAAAAGAAGGTGCATAAAGAATTATGCAAAATTAAATAGTGAGGAAAGCTCAAGATCCTTTATTAAACTCAAGTAAAGACGAGGAGCTCATCCTAACTGTGATTATTTACAGGTGTGGGCACCAGCGTTTTACTTTCATTTATTATTTTCTCATTTTGCTGGCAACAACAACACTGCTTACAAAAGTTAAACATGTTAGCTAGATGGTATAAAAGCCAGAAGGAAGATTATTAGCCGAGACACTAGAAACTTTATTGGTTTCTGGCTGTCGCACAGACAGAGGACGTGCAAACTCTCCTCTGTGTTTCATGAATTATTTGCTGGAGTAAAACGACGATATTTCACTGAAGTGGACAACTCATTTTAATATTAATGCAAGGTGAGTCTGAGTTTATATTGTGTTCGTCTGTGTGTGTGCGTTTGTGTGTGGTGGTTATGTTTTGCTTACCGGCAATATCTCTTTCAGGCCACAGCGCATAAATTCATTTCTAATGTGCAGCCTGAAGTCCAGCTCATCAGGGGATGTTACTAGTGCATTGATGAGCTGCATGCATGCCACCTGCAACATGGGGGTACACAGAACAAAGAGAGTGTGAGAGAAGGGAAGAGAGCAGAATGAGAGAAAGAACCAAAGAAAGAGATGATGGACTTTTTTCCAGAAGATGATGAAAAGCGTGCTGGCATGCATTCTAAATGAGCCATGTCCCTTGGAAGCAAAGGACCATAACTAATGCATGTCTATTTTCTCCAGTCACCAACTGGGGGTGGGGGCTGATTTTAATATTAATGTAACAACTGCAGCCCCATATACACACATACACACACAACTAACCAACTGTCAATTTAAGGGCAAACTTGCTGTTTTGAAAGCAGTTTTTCACTCCCCTCTGAGTTTGGTTTATTACGCAGGGACAGCTACATTGTGTGACTCTTCAACTACCCAGGCAAAGATAAACAGAAAAATCAATTATTGACCAGTAAGGCAATCCATTCATGTGTGAAAAGACAATATGGCAATGCTAGATATTCAGGTGATGTTTAATTTGATGGCACACTCTCATCTTTGGTACTCCAGTTTACTAATACCTGTCACCAAAGAGCCTCTTTAATATTGTAACGCTACTGATGTTACAAAGTATCACAGCACCTTTGTATTGCCTGCCAATAAGTCACCAACACAATCACAGGTCCCCACCCACACTCAGTGCCAGATTTGACTTTGTGGATTTTAGTAAAGTTCAAGCTGAAGGGTCATCTTTTGACATAGCACAAGCTGCATATGGTACTTACAGAATGCTATTTCCAAGGAGCATAACAAATACAGCAGGAGCTCTGGAAAAAGTGTATCACTGCACAAAGCGATGAAGGGCCTAGTGGTTAAAATTAAATCATGTAGTTTTTACTCTAAATGGGAAGTCATGGAACTCTTATCACACCTCGTACATTACTTCAGCTTTATATTTGAGATAACAAATAAGACAAATATGAAGACATTGAGATAGGAGTATTAAGAGACAATACTGGTGTCCTCAATTTTAGTATTTATGGTTTAAAAAAACGTTCCCTAGGCTGACACTATGAATAAAAGTACCGAAATAGAACAGAAAGCCTGTAGCCACACATTTCAATGCTTAGGATAAAAGTGTCTATGCTTTAATAATGCATGGGGTTAAAGGGGATTTGTGCTGTCTATTAGACAGTCGAGGTAATAACAAAGCATCAATAAAACACAACAAAGTACAAAGGGCAATGTTTGTTTGGCCACAGATGAGTTCTGTGTATTTAATATCCTCGTGTAAAGTAAATTCTACCTTCTAGTGCACTGGAAAAAAAATCCTGGTTGTTATTTTTCCCCACTTCCTTTCTATAAATACCTCATTTTAAATTCCAGTGTCTCCCCCTTCCCTCACCAACTATTGATTTTTTTTTTTCTTTCGGTGAGAACTGGTCAAAGATAATTATACAGTAAACTGAATGTGAATGCTATTTGGTACCTATCACAAGGTACTACAAACAAAAACCAAATTCTTATTCCAATAATATGAAAAAGATGATTTAAGCTTCATTATGTGTGCCTCAATCATTGCTCATGTTATGGGGAGCTCTGTTTAACAGTCACACTATATAAATGTTTTAAAGGGACAAGAAGTTTCCATAATTTATATGATTACATTTTAACATGCAAACCTGCACTGTTTGAAACAGTATATATGCAATGTTTTAAGTGTGCTTGGAGAGTAAAGATCCAAACAATTTTATCTAAATGGAGAATGTGTAGAGGGAATACACACAAGAATAAAATGGCCCGTTTTTTATGTTCGTCTTTTTGTTTAAGGCAGAACATGAAAAGGGACTTGTATATTGATTAAATGAGCATGTTCTTCTACTGCTTGCTTTTATGTTTCTCGTTAACTTGTTAACTGGTATAGGGACTGTTCCTTACTTAGTCTGCCCAGCTGTCTGTAGATTTTAAGCTGATATTTATTCAAAACAAATGGTGCAGATGAATTAGTGGGTCGAATTAAAATTTCTGACATGTCTGGTCTGAAAGCGATCATTAAAAAGTGACATCTGTACTTAACTGAAGCATCTGGCACCAGTGTTGGTCAAGTTACTTGAAAAAAGTAATCAGTAACTAATTACTGATTACTTCCCCAAAAAAGTAATCCCGTTACTTTACTGATTACTTATTTTCAAAAGTAATTAATTACTTAGTTACTTTTTAAAAACACGATTTACAACCTGAATAGGTGATAAAGCGATAGATCTTTCAGCCCAATTCTACTTTTTCTGCATAATCCATCATACAAAATGTAATCAAATGGAAAAGTCTCTTTTTTTTAACTTGTTTTATCAGTTTTAATCTTTTAACTTTATGCATCAAGCAAAAATTTAATTATATGCACCATTCTCTGACTTGAATAAATTAGTTTAACATTTAAACCTATTTTCTGCACATTCCAGCACATAAAATAAAATATTTTTTGTGTTTACACTCAGTCTTTCAAATAGATGCAAGTAAAACACAGCAGAAAATAAATAAAGTCAAAGACTCAGCGGTCCTGTTGCTCTATTTTCACCTGTAAAGCAGGAGTGGGTAGGCGGAGGTTTACCCTGGTGCAGGTGTGCCGCGGTCAGTTGAAGAATCCGCGAGTTTCTCTGTGAGTTTCCCATTACGTCGTAGCTACTCAGTGCTTGCTTGGAAGGGGGGTTTTTTTCGCTGTAAAAAGAAGTTTTCTTCCCACGCACAACGGACACTAATGTTTTTGTCACTTTTTATGGAATCAAACTCAAAGTAAGGTCAGTACTTCCACGCTTTAAACGCTGCACGCTCATACTCTCTCCCACAATCGATATGTGATCCATTGTTGATCTGCACACAGCTGTTGTCACTAACGGCGCACTCGCTTACGTCACTGTCGTGAGACATTCTCGCAAAAAAATCACGGTTTTAGTAACGCAGTAACGCAGCGTTCCTACGGGAAAGTAACGGTAATCTAATTACCGTTTTTGCAATAGTAATCCCTTACTTTACTCGTTACTTGAAAAAAGTAATCCGATTACAGTAACGCGTTACAAGTAACGCATTACTGCCCATCTCTGTCTGGCACTGACGAGTTCATGAAAAACAGAATGAACAGACCTTTTTTTTTTTTTTTTAATTCTCATGATGTTGCGCTTGCAAGTGGTGTTTTCTGTATTATTGCTGCTCAACATGTAGGTCTATTTGCCTCGAAAAACTAATTATATAGCATGAGATGTTTGTTTAACGATGGTGTTCACATCAAAATTGAAAATAAACAAAGTTGCTCACTTTTTTCATGCTTAAAAACAGAACCTTCAAAAAATTCTGAGAGGGCTTTATGTAGCATTGGTGTTTATTTACTGTAACTGATTCACCAAGATTTAATTCAATTCATCTTCATCTATAGAGCACCAAATTACAACAACAAACACATTGTTAATGCAAATGAACAATGACACTGTCTTTAATTGCAGCATGCCACTTGAGACATTTCACCCACATGAATATAGCAGCCATATTTTCCCCATAACAATTAATCAATTCTAAATAACATTAAAATACAAGCATTTTGCATATACTAAAAGGTGAGAAATGTCTAGCTGCCTTTTTAGGCGTCACTGCGACTTGATCTGTGATTTGCAATTGGTTGACTGAAAATTAGTTGCAAATAAAAAATATGACAAAACAACAAAACAGGAATTTTATCAAACCTCACATGAATGTTTAAGTAACTGAGGGACCTTTGACTGGCTGTGATCTGTTGACATTGTCACGTTTTCACAGTTATTCTGTATGTAATATCAGTAAAATCTGTGGAAAACAAGGTGTCAGATGGTGGAAAAGTATTTTGCACTTACTTGTAATTGAACTGAGCGATCGCGTAGTCCTTGCACAATGGGACTGAACCTCTCAATGCCTCGCCATTCCCCCGCTGTGGTGATGGCTTCAAGGACCTTCTCCAAACTAAATGAGAACATAAAATGCATGACTGAACAGTTTGAGAGAGAAAAAAATGAAGCAATGCATTCATTTTTAGGGATTTAACCATACGCTCTTTCCTATATTGTATCCAAGGTTCCTTGGAGTGCGCGAGTGACTGAATTATAAGGTAAATTACAGTGCAGTCTTTCTCTTACTGCTCTGTTAAGTTTCGGCCGTTTTATGACATTTTAGCACCATTTATTACTGTGTGCCAGTATGATTTAAACTGATAATAAAGACATGATAGTTATCCACTTTACTATTTAAGTACAGCCTAATCTAATGGAAAAACATTGTGCTTTAACATTAGAAAAAGTCAGTCAGATAGAAATGTTGAGAGAATCAATGACATACATGTTCTCTTCTCCTACAATGCAGATGGCTGACAACAGCTTTACCACATCGGTCATCATTGCAGACTGGTTGGGATCAATGGCTCTTGCCAGTAAAGCAAGACTTTTCTCCTCTCCCAGAATTCGATCCAAGCCATACTGTAATGGAATCAAAACATTATTACCCAGACATGCTGCAATTTGCCCCATTTTTGTCAACAAAAATACAAATCCACATTAAACAACAAAACCAAAGTTAAGCTCATCATATATTTTCGTGTACTTCAAATGTATCTAAATGATCAAATATTTGACTGAATAATGTGTCCTTTTTTTTCCTTTATAAAAAAAACAAACCCCAGAAAACTATGTCCTACATGTCAAAATTGATATCTAATTGCATCCACAAACACACATAAACTTAAAGTGACTTTGTAACACAATCTCTCCAATAAATCTACAATTTACCAGGGAGAAAGGTTTTCTTATTATATTTATTTTGTCAAAGGGCAATTTCACAGTGTGCTAACTTTTAGTATTACATTATTATGCCACTGGTGACAGAAGACAGAAAAATCAGACAAAGGCAGAAGAAGAAAAGGCTGTAGCGACAGCTGGCAGAGAACACCTGTCTTCTTGGCATTGTGGTTACCCCACATCCCAAGACACCTCTTTAGCCGCAGAAAGGTCTGGGCTAACACAGAGGCCTATGGGTTTTTGTTGGCGCCTGGCACTTATTGAGAAGCAGGATTATATCAGACCTTGCAGCACATTTTACACTGCATATCTTTCTCCATAGGGTTTTAGCTCTACATGGAAAGTTGCTGGGAGGGTTCTTATCCTCTCTGCAGCTACTGATAAACTATTAAGAAAAACAGCTGAAGCATTATGAATTATTAGTACTTGAGAAGTAAACATTTTAAATAGCTTTGGCCTGGGACATACAGGGTGGGCCATTTATATGGATACACCGTAATAAAATGGGAATGGTTGGTGATATTACAGTCCTGTTTGCGGCATATTAGTATTTATGAGGGTGCAAACTCCTCAAGATGGGTGGTGACCATGGTGGCCATTTAGAAGTCGGCCATCTTGGATACAACTTTTGTTTTTTCAATAGGAAGAGGGCCATGTGACACATCAAACTTATTGGTAATGTCACAAGAAAAACAATGGTGTGCTTGGTTTCAACGTAACTTTATTCTTTAGGGGTAGAGCTGAGGTAAAAATTGAGGTAAAGATCTAAGATGGGTGTGGCTGACTCATGAGTGCAGAGCAAAGAGCTCCAAAAGTAGCAAAGTTAGACAGCCAATGACCTCTTCCAATTTTACACCGCTGTCAGTCTTTTGTATTTTTAAGCATTTTTAAGTTCATATAAACTATTTTTGTGATATGAACATTACAGCTTAAAAGGCCATGTTTCAAAAACTATAGTGTCAGTGTGGAATCATAATATATGAATTAGATTAATTTAAAGAAACCTGATCTAAAAAAAACAGACTTTTTATACCCAGCAAATATCCATCAAACAAAATAAGTGAAATAATAAAATGAAATAAAATAAGCTATTGTCAATACCTTGTTGTTCATGAAGGCTTTGAGACACTGGATAACTTTATGTTGGTTCTTTTTGTCAATTTTCTCTTGGCTATTGAAACAAGACAGCAATAGGTTATTGTTTGCTATTAAACACTTAAAAGAATTAAATAATTAGTGAGACAGGAAAGAGTTTGAACATGAATGCATAAACTTACTGTTTCTTGAATAGCAACCTCTCCAAAATGTCTAGCAGCAGTCCAAGACCTTCATGCCCAAAGTTTTGCACCCAGCTGAAATAACAAACATGAAATCGATATCACAATAGTCCCAGACTGACAACTGACAACAATTTCATTCTCATCCACCAGGCAGAAAAACAGAACTCAGTACTTTGTGTTGAAGAGAAAGGCAGTAGAGGTAAACAAGATACTGTAAAAAAAATAATTAAATAAAAAGGTTGCACATGCATACACTGTTATCCTCTGCTGTGTCTGAAATACATTAACACAATAAAAGCTTTAAACACAAAATTAAGGGAAAGCCTGGCCCATTGAAACCCACAGAGTGGATCCAGTGACTTTTATACATTCGGCTAGAAGTGAGTAAAGGCAGACAGTGTGATTGATTGTCCCACCATTGTCCAACGTTCATGTGTGAAAATGTTTTCTACCCAAACAGGAGATTTAGGACTGACATGTCACACAGTGCTTTCTCCAATCATGAGAAAAAACACCAAATGAGAGAAAATCTTCTTCTCTCTCTTCAGCAGATTTTCAGAATCAATACCACAGCAGACTTTAGCATCTCCGATGGAGGAAAACTTTACTGAGAAACTTTTTTCCATGCCTCCTTCCCCACTTTTCTTCATTTCCATGTCAGCCTTCTGTATAAGAATGCATGTATCTTATTAGGAACATATATGATTAGCAATTAAATAAATCTGGTCTGCACCAGAAATACTAATCAGTTAATCATTAAATTCATTCAATTTCATTAATGCGCAATACCCAAATGCCTTGGTCTTATGTAGACTGTGGCAGAAGAGTACAACATAACTCTACTGGAACAATAATGTGGATCTGACTCTATAAAGACAAAAGGCAGATGGTAACACTGCTAACACAAATGCACATGACACAAGAACGTGACTGTAAAACCAGCAAAGACAATGAAGAAACTGTTCATTATTTTAGGTTCTATATTGATTGCTGTCTAAGCGCTTTCTTCCTTTAACACCCGTATTGGATTTATTTTCTCCAATTTAGCCGACTATCAAATTAATGCAAAGAAAACTTCACGGAATAAAAAACATTTTCTTGCTGCTCTTTATGTGAAAGCTGATTTTAGACACATCTTATGGAGAACGTACCTTTGATCCAATAGAATGCTGCCTGTGATTACAGAGTAATATTGAAAGCTTAGGACCAATGTATAATATAGATTTATTTTCCTTCTAAAGGGCAAATTCTTTCCAACCACTGAACTCAAGGAGCTATTCTTTAAAAAAAAAGTGTGATGAAGAGTGACTCTACAAAGAGATTCACATGAATGAACATATTCTACCTTTATTCTACAACAGAGCTGTTTGGAATCAGATATCAGTAATAGTTTTGTTTCATATAAATAAGACAGAACAGTGTTATTAAGAAGTATTATGTTGCTTAATGTGGTGTTTACCTGGTTAACAGCATGAGAGAGAGGCGGATGTAACACTGGGGGTACCAGGAGGTGAGAAAGTGAAGGTAGATGAGTTTAAATACCTGAGGTCAACCATCCAAAGCAAAGAGATAAAGGAGAAGTGAAGAGTCAGGGCTGTCTTTGTGACAGAAGGAAGGCAGCAAGAGTAAAAGGGAAGGTTTACAAGATGGTAGTGGCCTGCTATGACGTATGGCTTGGAGACGGTGGCCATAACAAAAAGGGAGGAGGCCAAAGTGGAGGTGACAGAGCTGACCAGTGACCAGGATTGATATGATTAGAAATGAGTACATGAGAGAGGCAAGGCTGAGCTGGTTTGGGCATGTGCAAAGTAGGGATAGTGGATAGATTGTACAAAGGATGCTAAATGAGGAGCTGCCAGGCAGGATGAAAGATGAAGACCACAGAAAAGCTTCATGCATGTAGTTAAGGAGGACATGCAGAGGACTGGTGTGACAGAGGAGGACGCTAAGGAGAGGGTGAGATTAAGGCAGATAATCCACTGTTGAGTACCCTAAAGGGTGCGGCTGAAAGAAGATGAAGAATTGTAAAGAGGCTGAATACTGGCCCAGGCTTTTGGTCTCCCCAGATCCAAACACTTTCTGTAGTCTCCTTCTCCACACTCGGGTTACCAGTACTTGCAAACCAAGGTACTCCAGCTTTAAGAATGAATACCATTGAACCAGAGGCATGAGCTAAATTGTAGACTGCCCCTCCCTCTTGTCTGAACCTGAATTCCATCTCTGAACATTAGCATTCACAGTTGTTGCTCTAATCACCACACTCTGTGCCTTCCAGCATCATATGTACATAAATTCTCAAGGTGGCAGGATAAAACGGGAAGCTGTTATCTAAATGCTTTATCTTGAAAAGAAGCAGGTTGTGTGTATGATTACATTTTTCTCCCATCTACTATTGTGTCTCTGAAGAACACTGATAAATGGCATTTTGTAATAAATAACCAATTTTAATGTTAATCCAAACAGATGGGAGATTAGTTATTGTTTTTCATTTGTTTGTTTTGATTTATTCAATGTAATCTACAGCTGTCACAAAAATATGACAGGTAAACCCCATTCCAGTTTCTACATTAATATAGCTGAGCTTATAACAAACACCTTAGCTAAATCTATTAACAGGAAGCCCATCTGTTTGGTGGTTTTGGGGTGGTTTTTTTTTTTTTACAATTTCTCAAAATATGGAGGCACAAATGCATCAAAAGAAGCAAAATCCTCTTCTAATTGTTTGCACAATACTATGGCTACATCACAATGAATAGCCTGACAGGAGAAAGAAGGGGGGGGAGACCAGCTGTCTGATTCCCAGCATGACTTCTGCAGTGTTTTAAAAAAGGTAAACAAAAACAAAATAATAGGGGCTTTTAATTCCCAACTTCATGCCATATACAAACATTTTCTGCATACATCTCCACTTGTATATATTATATATAGAGTGAGTGCACTAAAACATAGCCTTGTACCATCATTTACTACTATGAGAGCATGTCAGGGTTAGATGGAAAGAGGCTGACAAAAACAGTGATGGCTTTACAGATGTAGATTAAAAAAAAAAGACTGCTGCCAAGGTAGATCAGAAAAAATGCTCTCAAGTTTCAGAGAGGAAAAAAAAGACTTCTATTCTACATTGGTCCCTACCCAGTCAGTACTGTAGGATTTTGGTTATAGAGGTCTTAATAAGAGCTTTATTGAAATTCATAGCCCAGTGGCAACTGTATGCAAGTTTTTCATCATCAACAGTTCAGGCAGAGAGCAAAGAAGAACAATCAGATGATCTCAAGCAGGAATTACAGAGGAAACCAGGATACCTGCACTGTGAGGCTTTCCTGAAACAAATATGAAAGACACTTGTGGAGACATAAGTGAAAAATGGATACTGGTGGTAAGTCAGCTTTCAAAGGCCGTTTGATGTTTTTAGCTTTTAGACATTCTGAAGATCTCAGAGGCCTGAAAAAGAAAATGGAATAGCTTTCCAAAACGCCTGAAGAAGTCTTATTGAGAGCAAGAACAACCGGGCCGATGCAAAAGTTTATGTATGAGCATGACTGTGTGTCCTAACTGAAGGTCAGGGAAAGTTTGGATACAGCAAATAAAGCTGGACAGACTGCATTTTTTATTAAACATGTCTGTTAAATCATGCATTCACAGATCAAAACTCGTAGTCTTTAAAGTCACATTAAAGGCATGTTAACAGGCGCTCAGTGTTTTGGGTTTTGTTGTTTTATTTTTCAGAGACTGACCCAATCTGTTGTCAGTTTACTCATGGACAAGTTCAGACTTCGCTAACAAGGTCTGGATTTCCTCTTGCTGGTTCAGTTACCATTGTTGCCATCCTCAGTATTATTCAGCAGGTAGCTCACGGAACAATAAAGGTTCGCATCTCGTGGTTACTCCACCATCTCTGACTTTAACTGGCAAAAGTGTTTCTTTTCTGTTCTGGAGATCAGCTACGAGCTACAGGACCACTCAAAAAAATAAAAAATAAAAAATAAAAAAAAAGGAACGAGCATTTCTCCTTCTCTCACCCCTTTTCACTCACTCTTTATGTACAACTTTGCATTTAATTAAATTTTTATAATAATAATTTTAATTAAAGTTATTATTAATGTCTGGCTGTCTTCCACAGCATGTCTTTTGTCTGGCCTCCCTCCCTCATCCCCATCTGGTGGGGGCAGATGGCTCCCCGAGTCTGGTTCTGCTGAAGGATTCTTCCTGTTAAAAGGGAGTTTTTCCTCTCCACTATCACCAAAGTGCTCATATGGGGCGGTCTGCATTATTGTGTGGATCATTTCCATACAATTTTAAGTGTCTTAATTGTTATTGTGATTTGGCACTATATAAATAAAATTGAATTCAACAGAATAACTAATTTATGCCAAATCTTCTGACAATAGCTTTGAGGGAACTCAGGCTGTGGAAGTGCATAAACTGTAGACACAGCATACCAAAAAAATTCTGAAGGGCCACATATTGATTCAGTCAACTGAAAGCCAAATCTTACATCATTTTGTGAATACACTGGCTCCCATGACCTCTTTTCCAACACCACAATCACTTTGCCAGAAATTCAGTCCAATGATATATAGAGAAAGATATATAGAGATAGAGATAGATATATAGAGATAGAGATAGATATATAGAGATAGAGATAGACAGATCATATATTTATATGTATATGTGTGTGAGTGCGCGCATGTTATGTCACAGACAGATTCTTGTTTTGTACTCCACATGCTGTCTGCCTAGACTCTAAAATGATTAAAGTATTTTATATTCTGTTCTGTCTGCTCATCTAGCATTCTCTGGCAGCACTTGGGTTTCATTGGTTCCTAACATCTGGCACCCTCCCACATCCCAAATGAGAAAACTTCAATCACACTCTCTGCCTGAATGTGTTTGGAGAAGTGCTGTGCAAAAATTATCTAAAAAAAGAAAGGAGAAACTTTTTCTTTCTTAGTGAAGACACATACCTGGTAACATTTTATGTTATTAGTAATTCATAATGACACACATGGGGCATAGTTATCTACATCTAAGATATAATGCCACAATATTTCGATACTGTGAAAATACTCATT